ATTATCAAAAATAATAACAATGAATAAGTAAAATGATCGATTGCAGTGGCAGACAAAAGTCTACCCCAAAGACAACCCAAGCATAAATGTTATATCGATAAGACCTTGCTTGTCCTGAAAGTTACATCCATCATGTGACCCACTTTCATCCATAGCAAAGAGCACGCCTGGGTTTTGAATCCTGTTTGGGATGCCAAATCTGGATGATAAAATCTTTTGGAGGGTAAGGCTTTTTGAAAGTCAGTGGCATAGTAAGGTCTAATAATAAAAGTAGTGTGAATCATAGCCATCGTTTTTTACATCACTATATATTGACCAATGGTGACTTGAATTCTTATTAAAATCGAATAGTATAAGTCAGATCTCGACCAGATCCCCATTATGAACCCATTTGATGCCATGCAAAATCAATTTAAAAACGGCAATCTGACCGTTTGTAACCAAATAAAATCCTTTATCAATTATTCCAATAAATTATCATGCATACTATGGACTCCGGACAAGGTGCGTTCCCATAGGTCTTCCTGTAAATATGACTAAGTTGCGAAAAGAAGGTCGAACAACTTGTATACATCCCTGCGGGTTTACAATAGCTTCTTTCCTTATCGGACATCTCGTAGGAAGCCCCAAAGATAGAATTTCAAAGAATCAGGTCAACGCTACAGCGTAGTAAACCCTACAGAGCCAGTTGGCTTGATTATCCCTACATCGGAATTACGGTCATTGCGCGCCTTTCCGCTTTTTTAAATATACGAAGAGTAACTGGGTTCCGATGAATCTCTTAAGATAATATTGTTAGAGACTTTCATTTAGTATGAAGTATATAATGACCCTAGACTGAGCGGTTATAACGGGTGGTTCTGTAGCCTAACATACACGCTTACACACTAACAAGCCTACATCTCATTATCTCAACCAGAATTGTTTATGGACTTACGCTGTCTAGGTCAGAGTTATTTCTTGGGTCAGTAGGCCATGATGACCAGCGTCTGACATTATGCTTTTCGAACACTCTTATTTAGGACCGGTAGTGCGTATAGACATTAACACACATGCGCGCACACGCACTTAATTACAAGTTCAATGCTGAATATCAAAGATAATTAGCCAAACCATTCTATATCTATCTATGTCGATGCATTATATTCTTTTATTTATGAGTATATATAAAAGGACAGTCTTCTTGGCCTGGTGCTAACTTGACACTTTTACAGGAATTAGTTACAGTTTATCATATGATGGACGAGAGCTCAGTCCGCTTCCACCAAAAGGAGGGAGGATGTCTAAAGGACTGCGTCAATCTGAATGTCGTAGCAAAGCCAAACGGCGGTAGCACAACGGGAATCAGCAGTCGTCTTCTGGTGAGATCGACCTTCCAATCTCTCATTCATGTACATTCATACGAAATGAAAGTCTCACCAACACCGCTTCACTGAGTCTCGCAATTTTGCATTGCGAAATTGGTTGGGCCTCTAGGTAAGGATGAGCGAAGCCAAAGTAAAGTTATCTAACAACATAGATATTAAATTTGCATTTATAATAATCCCTTTGCTCCGCATCAACAAAAAGCACTTTGCCCAGATAGACATCACATTAACACCACATCTCCATGCTGTTTCTCTATTCAGCATCAGATCGATATGCCACATCCGTGTTTCGCCACTAAACCGCACCCCGCCTCGGTTACTCTGGTACCATTACTGAGCGCCCCCCAAAATCTTCTGTACATAATAAATCTTTGGCCTCCCCACTACCTAAGTGAATCTATATAGCCTTATAACTTCACCCTCATATCTTTTATTTTGTCATTCGTTCTAGGGTCCTGTACAACTCGTCAGGAAGCATAGGGTTACAAAGATAGGCGGATAAAAGTGATGCACCTGTGCGCCAGTCCTCTGGCGTCATGCCCGCGTGCAGCAAAGCAAGCGACAGAAAGGTGATATAAGATGGCACCTTCAGCTAATGCCAAACCACGCAGCTCTCGAGCGACCTCAGGCCCCGCCTCCTCGATGAGAGCTCGCATTACGAGTCCAGCGCCCTTCACTATAGCCAGACTTGGATGCTAGAGACAAGATAAAGTTAAATATAGTAGGCATAAAAAAATAAGAAAGAATATGTATTATTAGTATGCGAATAAAAGTTGAGCTTTCTTGACTTGTTAACTTAAATTTATTTGTGACGATGATACCTTGTTCTGATGAGGTTCGCCATATGACGGACGAAAGCTTAGCACCTTTTCATCGGAATCGAAGGAGATTACCTCAGAAACAGCGTCAGCATGAATGTTCCAGTAAAGCCAATCGAAGGCTGGTCACGAGGAATCCGCCGTCGTCTTCTGGTGGGATCGAATTTCGAATCTTTTCACCAAACACTTTCACTCGAAATGGAAGTGAGCACAACAAGTAAGAATAGTAACTTGATTTCTATAAGTCTACTAAGAAAGAATAGGCATAATCGCACTGGAAAAATGATCTACTGTATATTGTTTAATAAGGTATTAGGCAGATGACTAGCTCAAAGGTTTCTAAGCTGGTGATCAGAAGTTTAGCTAAGTTGCATAGCAGAATCGCAAGGAATGGTCAGGTCTCATTAAATATGTTTCCAAATTTGTTACTAATCCATATATTGCACAAAATTACTCTTTATGGATACTCAATGCATCCATAATGACTTGGTGATGCAATAATAAAAAAAAAATGAAAATTAGGGTGCATTGACTTCTTAAATAAATGGTCAATTATGCTCCCTTTGCTACAAAGAATAAAGGTATTCCTACGAATATGGTAACGGAAATTCGTATTAAGAAGCAGATAGCTTAAAAAAGTGTTTCCTCTATGTGGGTAATGAGTAAATTCGATACAAAAGGGCCAAAATGGGAGCCAAATTTCACCCCAAATACTTTAGAGAAGAGCTGAATATTGGATAAAGCAAAATAATTTGAAAATCTAAAATCTAATTTAGCATACAATCATTAAACAAAAATTCGAGGACATTTTAATTTGTATGCAATATATGAAGAAAGTACCTGGCGAAGGTGAAACAAGTTCAAGAAATGATGGGGGAGGATGAAATCAACACGAAATTAGAGGGCGGAGTAATTAGGCCATTGAATTACCATTGTGCACTAAAAGACAGCTGTACCTCCGGCTTGATAACTAACTTGATAACTAGATGGATAGTTGGTTTAGGAAATAGTTACGGTACCTTTCTGTCTTTTTAGGTAGAGGATGAGGTTGAAGGTAGTGATAGATACTAGAATGGAGACATAAAAGTATGTAAGATAAAAGGTTACGAGCAATAGTCTGATGAGAAGGTGG